GCGGATCAGGCCGGGGAATCTAGGGCAGCGGGAGGAGGCGGCGGCCCCGGGGCAGGGAAGCTAGGCCAGCCCCGCCCGTGCGCCTGGCACGGCCCTGCAAGCGGGGCGCTGCATCCAGAGCAGCAGGCACAGGGCCGAGCGCAGGCCACGGCGGGCAGAGCACAACCGGGCGGCCCCAGCCCCGGCCCCCGGCCACCCCACGCGGGACCGCCCCCTGCTTGGCTCACGCATGACCCCCAGGCAGCAAATCTGGGCATGACACTTTATTGAATAAACAGATTTATGATACAAGACTGTACAGCTCCACCTCCCCCACGCGCAACACACAGGCAGGACCAGAAACCGGCTGGGCTGGGCACGGTGCAGGGCAGGTGGCCACGGAGAGCACTGGGCACCACCAGCTACAGGGTGGCTGCTGGGCACTCGCTGGCAGCCGCTGGCTTCAGCCCCAGGTACCGGAGCACGTCCTGCAGCTCCTGGGAGCTCGTGGCCACCACGTCAGGAATGGACAACAGTGCCTGGGGGGCAGGAGACAGGTTAGGAGGGGACCATGGCTGCCCCTGCGGCCCCCGGGCCAATGGCCCAGGCCCCGGCTCCGGTCCAGCCTCCACCGGCAAGAGGCCCAGGCAGGCCCCACATCACTCCCTCGTCCCGAGGGCAAGACAGGTGAGCGAGAGTAGCTGGCCAGGTCAGTGGTGCCAACTCCCTCCTGGGGCGAGGGTTCAAGTGCTGCAGCCCCAGGGCTCCTGCAGCTGGCTTAAGCCATGGGCACGGCCCAGCCAAGGCCGCAGGAGCCAGGAGGGTTGATCTGCAGCATCCCAGGCTGGCAGGGGAAGGGCAGCTCCCTCCCCGGCCCAAGCAAGGGCCTCACCTCCTTGACCTTCTCCTCCGTCTCCTCCTGACTCTTCAGCACCTTCTGCACCTGATGGAGCCGCCCCTCAAGGATCCGCCTCTGCAAGGGAGAGCGGCAGCTGCAGGCCTGCGCCAGGGAGCAGGGCAGGGGGCTCTGGGGTGCCTCCCCGGGGTCCTTACCTGCTCTAGGTACTTGCTGGAGAGCAGCGAGATCTCATTCCCCTTCTCCAGGAGCAGCTCCCGCAGCTTGTTCACCTGCAGAGCAAGTCGAGCACCAGCTGGGAGCAAGGGGCAGCCCCACGCATGGCCTCTGCACTAACCTGTGCTCAGCCCTGGCCCTGGCACCCTCTTCCTTCCCCAGGGAAGGGCCCTGCTGCCTCCTGGGAGTCAGGCCCTGGCTCCAGGCCCAGCCAGACCTCGCTGGTAAGGAGCAGCATGTGGGCCACCCCCTGGGCCCTGCCTGCACGCCAGCCTCACCTCCTGCCGCAACCAGACCTTCTCCTGGACATTGCTGGTGTCCGCAGGGGGCTGCTGGCCCCTCACCTCCTCCCACAGCACCTTGGCCTCTGTCTCCGCCCGCTGCAGTGCCCGCTGCAGCTGAGACACCTCCGTCTTCAGGCTCTGGCCACAGGAGAGATGGGGGTGAGACAGGAAATGGCAGAAGGGGGCCCGGCCTTGGCCCCCACTAGGTGTGGCATCCAGGGTGCTGCGCGTGACCCCCCAGCCTAGACCCCGGCAGCCATGCCCTCTGTCCCAGCCTGCGTACCGTGACCTCGCCACTCCTGTCAATAAGCTGCAACATCTTCTCCTCCTGCTGCTGCACCACCTCCTGCAGCTCCTTCTCGCTCTGCCGAGAGAGGGGCTACATTCAGGGCTGGCCTCTGGGGGCCCCAGTGCTGCTGCAGCTCCCCCCAGGCAGGGCACGTGATGAAGGGAGCAAGCTGGGGCCAGGAACAGCTCTGCCGGGAAGCAGTGATGGCCAGGACCCCAGGGCAGGGCTGGCACGTCTGCCACGGAGCCCCAGGCAGCCAGGCATGGGCAGCTGGCCAGAGGCCTGCCCAGGCCCGGCTCCGTGACTCAGCACCGCGGTGTCAGCCC